GCTACGTTAATTTGTAAAAGTTACGAATGAAATGTAATTAATTGTATTTATGTAGTGTTGTTGAAAATATTAAAAAATTTAATTATAGTACTGAACCGAACGGAACGGAACGGAACCGAAACCGAACCGAAACCGAACGGTTCCAAAATTATATTTGGAACCGACGGTTCCATTTACTAAATACCCGAAAATTTCTGGAACCGAAAAAAACCGAACCGAACAGAACCGAACCGACTCGCGCCCACCCCTACTCATTTATTCAAGCATATATATATCGCATTAAAAACTAACTCTTGTTGAGACCTAAGATACCAAATAATAATATTATTTAATGAGGGGAATTCTCTATCTATTGAAATGTACATGTAGGAGTTCTTAAATAACCTCACCCAAATGCACATTTAATCTGTTTAGTAATGGGTACCCTTCATCGGTTTGAACTCTCCAAAAAAGGTGATCATTTTACAGAAGGAATGCATTCAATTAATAAGAAACTGACAGTTCCTAGTTATTTATTTTTCTGCCAAAGCAGTGTTCTTAAAATGGGACAGTATAGCATGCTACCTACTTTTTCGTAAATGTGAAAATTTGGCTTAAATCGGTTTCTAATTATTGTCACAATAAAAGCAAAGTTAAATACTCGTGCATTCATCAGAAGTAAGAAAAACTTTTAATTCGGGTTAATTGCTGAAGAGTATTCATAATTATATGTCGGTTTAATTTGCATTTGCATTTCCATTACAATTATACATAATTAATTCCTTCTTGAGTTAAAAAAAAAAAAATTAAATTAAATTAAACCTATGGAATTGTTTGTGTTTGGACTTTCAACTTACTGAACTTGACAATGATAGAGTAATTAATAATGGTTGTTGTCTAACATAAAACATTAATACCCTATTTGATGCACATTAAGTGAAGAATGCATATTGGTTTGATGGAAAATATGTGATTAAAAAATAAGAAAATTGTTTGAATTTGCGTATAATATTATTTTATTAAAGAATATGTAGTTGAAAATGAGTTTTAAAAAAATGATTTTTTTAAAGAATGTGGATCGAACATGATGTAAGTTCTTGTTTGGGAAAACTTAAAAAAGATTTAAAAAGTTGATGTTAAAGTCAATAATTAATTTCAATAACATATAATGCCTTTGTTTAAATCAGATTTTTAGTAGATCTTAATAAAAGTTAGTGAAATGTATGATTAAAATGTTGTATATCCCATAAAATATGTAATTAAAATTAATTATTCATTTTAACTTAAATTAAAATTTCAATTTCAATTTCTACCAAACGGGGGTTACATTGGACTACGATTACTATTCATTTCATAGGATCCACCGCTACTTTTTATCAAACGCGAAAAGTAATTTATGGCAACTGATGGTTCTATTTTTTGGTTATTGCTGTCCCTTTGATTAGCATGTTTGATTTCACCTAAAAGCCAAAATTAAAGAAGCAGCTTCTTTTGTTTTTCTTGTCATACTGCCGACTGCTTCTTTCCATCTTTTTAGAAAAGCCAAGCGTGCTCTTAGTTATGCCTTTGACAAGTCGTAAGTTATATTTGTTGGAGACGCATCGCTCTCTACGTAGAAACATGCATGCATGAGAAAAAGAGATACTGAAAACATTCTGCTTACATTTATTTAAAGAGCTACTGTCTTCACTTAAAAGTTCAGAATACAAATAAAGCTGGACTCACACTCGATACAATTGATGATCACATTCACGCCATTTTTGAATTATAATAATTTTATTTAGCCTGGCCCTGACTGGAAGGTTGCAATTGGAATAAACAGAACTAATTATTAATTCTTTTTCCCAGGATATCCACCTCCTACTCCTACTCCGCCCCCAGCTCCACCGCCTAATCCCCCACCAGCTCCGCCTCCAGCTCCACCACCTAATCCCCCACCAGCTCCGCCTCCCAATCCACCTCCACCTCCAGCTCCGCCTCCAGCCCCACCGCCTAATCCCCCACCAGCTCCTCCACCCAA